TTTTTTTTTTTTTTTTTTGGGTAATGGGAATCGAACTCATGAACTCAGGCTTGCCAGGCAAGCACTTATGCCACTGAGCTACATCCCCGGCCCTGTACTAATAAAATTTAACAATTAAAATATCAAGTAAGAATGAAAGGGGGCTATATGTTAAGGGCCAAGGTATCCAGTTTGAATTTTTTGGTGGTATTCTTTTGCAAATCAAAAATCAACAGTTTTGTCACCTTTATTTCTGGGGAATTAAGAATTGTTTTTGGGGCTGGGGATTTAGCTCAGCGGCAAAAGCGCCTGCCTGGCAAGTGCAAGGTCGTGAGTTCGGTTCCCGGTACCGGAGAAAGAAAAGAATTGTTTTTGTTAAAATTTCTTCTACGTACCAACCAACCAAAGCCTGCATTAACTACTGTACCTGACACAGCAGCTGCTTTGTAAATATTCATGAATAAATGACCCTCTCTCTCTCACTTTCCTCCCCCATAAAAGCAGATAATAAGCTGGGCCCCTGGGGTTCCAGCCTCTAGGAGGCTGACACAGGAGGGTCATCCCGAGTTCAAGGTCAGCCTGGGCAAGTTACTAAGACTTTGTCTCAAAAAAAAAAAAAAAAAAGGAAAAAAAGCCCAGGCTGTGTCCAGTGATCCCATGGAGCCCGTGTGGAAAGGAAGCCACAACTTCCCTCTGCTTTTCTCCTTGCTTTTCTCACGGCCCAGCTGGGGAGGGACAGGGCCGCAGCCGGGCTCACACCGTGGAGAGGCATGTGAGTAAAGAGACATCAACAACAACGACGGTCACCTACACGGAGGACACTGGTGCCAACAGAGGCCTTTAATACTGAGCAAGACCGTGCAAAGTGACAAGTCTTCAGAAGGTGGTGCTGCGCTGGGCTCTTGACCGACCTTCGAACCCCAGCCGGTAACAGAATAAACCGCGGACTTACATTTAGGTTTGTCCTGAAAACCCAGGGACAGCCCGAGGCCTGAGGCTGCCCAGCCCGAGGCCTGCCTCCCTCTGTCTTGCCCCCTCCACCCCTCACGTCCTTTACCCCTTCTCCCTGCCCTGGCCTTCCTCTCCTCTTCCCTCCCTCTCCCTTTCTTCTCCGTCTCCTCTCCGTCTCCTCACCGCCTGTCCACCTATCCCGAGGCCCCCCTGAGTCTCCCCACCGCCCTCAGCCCTGTCTCCCCCGGCTCGGCCTCCAGGGCCTGGGTGGGCGGCGGACAGGGCCTCAGCCCAGGGAGCACTTGCTGGCGTTCCTCCTGTCGCAGGGTTGCAGGGCGGCACCGGAGGCCTTGTTGCCATCTCCCTGTAGGCAGAAGGGCCCAGGGGTCAGGGGCGAGGCCAGGGACCCACCCCTCCCAGGGGACCTTCCGAGTGCCACCCACGGCAGGGCCCCCCGGCCCCCCGCAGAGCCAACTCACCAGTCTCCGGGCCCCAGACTTGAGCAAGATGTCCCGGGCCAGGGAACTGAAAGCCTACAGGGGAGACCAGCCAGGACAGATTGGAGGGGGTCCCCCCTTCGCCCACGCTCCGGCACTCCTCCGGGGCAGACCTCACCTCATCCACATTCGTGCTGGACTTGGCGCTTGTCTCAAAAAACCGGATCCCGTGCTCTCGAGCCAGCTGTGCGGGCGGCGGACACACGAGTTGGACAAGGCCGGGACCCACGGCCCACCAGCGTGACCCCAGCCGGTGCCCAGCCCAGCCCTCACCTTGTCCGCCCGCTCCTTCTGCACCTTTCTCTTGGCCTCCATGTCACACTTGTTCCCCAGCAGGAGGCGTTCCACCCCGGCCGACGCATTCTGGGCAGAAGGGGAAGCGGGAGCTGGGGCCACCCTTCCTCAGAGCCTCTTCACCTCGGGGGGGGGGCCCCCCAGGGCCTCCCCAGCTCCCTCTGAGCATCCTTACTTCCTTGATGCTTTTCATCCAGGTCTGAATATTCTCAAAGGATTTCTCATCCGTGATGTCATAGACCAGGATGATGCCCTGGGGGACAGCAAAGTTCACCTTGACCATTCCCAGGGCTAGGCTTCCCCTTCCCTTTGCTGCGGCTCCGACAGCCTGGTCCCCAGGTCTGAACGCTGCGGCACGCGGGGCCCTGCAGGGTGGGGAGGCCTAGCACAGGCGAGACCCTGGTTTCCATCCTTAGCACTGAAATGAAGAAACACAACAAAAGCAAGCAAACAAACAGAACACTTTGGCTTGCAAGTGGGGCCCTGCACCGCACACACTGTACCCCTTCACCTCCTCTGTACTCAGAGCCGTCGTCTCCCACTGAAGCCCTGGCCAGGCGCACAGCGTACCATGGCTCCGCGGTAGTAGGCAGTGGTTATCGTCTTGAATCGCTCCTGGCCAGCCGTGTCCCTGGAGAAGGGTTCACAGGGCAGGAGAGACGTAAGGGGTTTCCAAGGGGAGACCCTCCCCCAAGAATCCAGCTCCTACAATGCACAGACACTGAAGGAAACAGATCAGAAAACAGTAAAGAGGGAAAGTGATCCGACAGCAGGCTGCCGATGAGACACAGCAGAGGGCTCACCCAGCATGTGTGAGGCCATGGGTGTCACCTCAGGCCAGCACCATGGGGAGGGGGGCATCACAGCCAAGCTTAGCGGTACACATCTGTGATCCCAGCGCTCTGGAGGCTGAGGCGGGAGAATTGCAAATTTGAACTCCATCTAGGCAATACAGCAAGACCCTGTCCCAAAATTTGAAAATGTAGCCAGACATGGTGACACACACCTATAACCCCAGCACTCGGGAGGCTGAGGCAGAATTGCCACAAGTTTGAGGACAGCCTGGCTACACACTCAGTTCAAGACAAGCATGGACTACACATTGAGACCCAGTCTCAGTTAAAAAAACAAAAAAATTTTAAAGGGCTGGGATTAGAGCTCAGTGCAAAGGGCCTGAGTTCAATCCCCTGTACAGACAGAGAGAGCTCAAGAAGCAAAGTATCTCTTTTTTACTTACTGAAAGCTTACAGTGTGTTAAGCACTAAGTATCAGCACTTTACCTAACCCTACTCTATATTTATGAGACATGTTTGCATCTGCACTTATGTCTGCTCTTGTTATTTTATTTTATTTTCTGCTGGGATGCTGGACACGCGCCACCATGCCTGGCTGTGTGTCGTATCTTAATGCCTCCACAGGGCGCCACAGCCCTTGAACACATTTGGTCTCCAGTTTCCTTGTTGTGGTGGGGCCCAGTCTCTGTGAGTGGCCCTCTGGGCTCCCCCTCCTCCAGAGACAGCATGAAGCTTGGAGGTGTCCCAGCTCCGCTACTCACCAGTGCACTGTCTAGAAGCTGTTTCCTCACTACAGCTCAACAGCTCTTTGTTTTCCAGATCGGAGCAGCTCCAGACCCAGGGGACAGAAGAGTTACAAACAGGCTGAAATGGCTGGGAGAGCAGAAGAGAGAGGACAGCTGAGGAAGCAAGATAATAAGTTAGAAGCGCCAGAAGAAACAGCCAGGAAAGGGAGAGAAATGAAACAAGGTGGAAAGGCTGTGGGAGGAGAAGCAGATGTGTGGTTAGGTGTCCTGGGTCCTGGGTCTCGCTCACCAGACTTGCAGTTTGATCTTCTTCCCCTCTATGTCCACGGTGCGGATCTTAAAATCAATTCCTAGGGGCAGAAGGTGGGCAGTGAAGTCAAGATGTGTGTGTGTGTATGTGTGTGTGTGTGTGTTCGTGTGTGTGTGTGTGTTCGTGTGTGTCAGGACACACTGCAGCAGCAGTGCAATAACTACAGGGGGGCATTTGGGGCACACCCTCTCTGGACAGGACATGCAGGACCAGGCGAATTTCCCCAAACTGTGCTTGTAGCAAGTCCAGCGTTGCTACTTAAAGTTTTGTGGCTTTTTAGAGGGCAAAGGCTGATGGAAGTTCTGCGGAGGGCTTAAGGCCAGGTCAGCTGACAACTCCCACATTTCCGTGTCCTCCCGGGTATCTCGTCCACATTCCTTTTTCCTTTCATTTCCTTCGGGCCCTCTACTGATCATATTCCACCATACTCCTGAGATGCAGTGCAGAGTAAGGGAAAAGACCGCCACTGCAAGTCTCTGTGAGCGGATGTTGGGCCAGGCTGGGACCTAAGAGAGTCTGAGACTTTAGGGAGATTCCACTCCCAGTCTGATTTCCCAGGGCGCGGAGCACCAGAGAAAGCTGAGAGGAGGGGATGCGCTGCCCCTTCCCAATCCTCCCCGCCTCTAGCTGCGTGGGCCCAGGGAGAAGGCTGAGTCACCAGCCTGACTCAGAGACCCCAGAAGTCCCCTGGCTCCCACCTTCCCCACCAAGCCATTGCATATTCAGGGTCACAGTCCTCGAGGACCGGGTGCCACCCTCTGGGTCCCCAGTAAGTCCAGCGGAGGGAGACTGTGAAGTGGGGACACAGCGGGACAGTGTGACAGGAAGAGGTCAGGACAGGGGGAGACACTTCGGGTTGGGGACACAGGACCTGTGGCGAGAGAGGATCAAGGGTTCCAGGTGGCTGGTGGGGGAGGAGCTGGAGAGCAAACAGGGCTCACGTGGACTTGGGCAGGGCAGGAAGGTGGCACCCAGGAAAGCAGGGCGGCAGCCCCTGAAGTCCCCCGGGCCCTGGAAGGAGGCTGGAGGTTTGGGCACCGTGCAGAGGCGCGGGCGGGGGCGGGCCCGGAGCCCGGGGTGCAGCGGGGTCCCCAGAGATCCAGCAGCCCGAGCACGAGGGCACAGGCAGCGAGGCGCGGGCCCCGCCGGCGGGCTCACCGATGGTGGAGATGTACGTGCTGTTGAAGTTGTCCTCCGCAAAGCGAATGATCAGACACGTCTTGCCCACCCCCGAGTCCCCGATGAGCAGCAGCTTGAAGAGGTGGTCGTAGGCCTTGGCCATGGCGACCCGGGCCGGCCGGGGTGGCAGCGCCCGGCTGGGACTGCGGCGGAGGGGAGGCCGGCTCGGGCCCAGGCCAGGAAGCGCCTTTCCCGACTCGGCGCCGCCG